CCTCCAGGTGTTCATTCATTTTTCTTGCCTGTGGCACTCCGAATTGAGCCTCTGGTACAATGTTGAAGGGAAGTGGGGACGTTTCTCCTTCACCAGGAAAGAACATGCAGGCAGAAAGCAGCAAGAGCAAAAGCTAAGAGACAGAAAGGTCTCAGTGAGCAGTTCAGTGTTCCTGGGTGTGAACACGGGCGGGCGGTGAGGCTGGAGCAGGAGGGGGGTTGGGCCAGCCACACAAAGCCGAGCTGCTTGGGCTGTGCCTTGAAGTTACGGAGAAATCATGGGAGGTTTCATTAGACGGGGGCTTGCCGGGTGTGTCTTTGGGAAGATGGGGCAGAGGGGGAACAGACAGAGGACTGGGCACACAGAGTGTCTCCTTGTTCTCTGAGGTCCCAAAATATGGAAACTAAAAGCAGTTAATACAGTCAGTTCTCCGCCAGGCACTTATGGAGAACCTGGTGAACGCAGACTGCAGTTGGCCCTGGAACAACATGGGGGTTAGGCCGCCAACCCCCTGTGCTGTCGAAAAGCCATGTATATCTTTCGACTCCCCCCAAAACTTAACTACCAATAGCCTACTATTGACCAGAGCCTTACAGATAACATAAACAGCCAATACATATTTTGTATCTTATATGTATTATATACCATATTCTTACAATAAAATAAGCTGGAGAAAAGAAAATGTAATTAAGAAAATCGTAAGGAAGAGAAAACACATAAATAGTACTGTACTGTATTTATGGGGAAAAATCTGTGTATAAATGGACCCATGAATTTCAAAGCCGTGCTGTTAAAGGGTCAACTCTACTTTACTGGAGGGAGGGAGGTGGAGGGAAGACCAAAGTGAATAAGCAGCCTGGTGTAGTGGGGGGTGAGTTTTGGAGTTAGGCCTACGCAGGTTAAAATCCACGCTTTAGCATGACGTTGGGCTGGCTGCATTTCTCCTCTTTGAAGGCCTGGGAAGCTGATCTCTTCTTCCTGGGGCTGTGGGCTGGACGGGCCAGTGCTGCTGTACTGGGCATTTCCTTTCTCTCAGACCTCTCACTTGCTTCTCTCCCCAGCTCAGACCTGCATTATAGTCTTCATAGGCCTCCTGTTCACCAGATTCTGGTTCATAAGTGTCCTGTATGCAACTTGGTGGTACCTGGACCGAGACAAGCCATGGAAGGGAGGCAGGCGCGTTGAGGTCCTAAGACGCAGCGTCGTATGGAAGTACATGAAGGACTATTTCCCCATCTCGGTGAGTATGAGGGCTGGCTTGGGTGTGGCCAGGGCTAAAGTGTCCCACTTCTCCATGGGGAAAGTGGGGCCCTGTGTGAAGTGAGAAGAGCCAGGGCTACCACCACTGTGGACCATGGGGAAGAGTCTGGCCATGGTTTCCCATCCATGGGCATGTGCAGCCAGTATGAGGGCTGATGAATGCACAGGATTTGAAAAAGCTCCATGGGGCATATCGTGTGGCCCACATGTGTATCTTGTAGGTGTAAACCCCTCTGCAGCCCGGGCTTGGGTGGAGGGAGATAATAAACTCAAGGTCCTAAGAGACCATCTACTCCACATTTCATCAGATGAGACATTGACACCCAGAGGGACAAAGGTATGACCAAGGCCACACAACAAGTTTTTGTTTTGTTTTTACTGGTTTTAAGGTTTGTGCATTAACTATGGGTAAAGGAGAAGGGGAGCGAACTGGTCCTCGGGTTCTCTCCTGCTCCTAACCCTGGTATGCTATGCTAGTGTGTCCTTGGGTTGGGCCTTGCCCCATTCTGAACCTCAGTTTCCCCCTGTACCCAGTAAGCAGACTGATCTCTCCTACTCTGAGTGCCTTGAATCTCTGACTCTCTGACTCAAGGCACCTCACGACCATTCTGAACAATTGACCCTGGACCCAAAGAATTAGTCCTGGGTGAAGCACATCCCTGGATTCACAGACCTTTCAGCTTCTTTACTGACAGACTCAACCCTGGATGTAAGCAGCTGGGCAGGGCTGTTGCATTGGCCAGATGAGAGGATCGGGAAGACAAGGGAACCCAGAGAGGTGCCAGGCAGGGACAGTTGGCTCTTCTCTGGAAACAGTAAAGAAAAATAAAAGGTATAGAATGTGGTCTCTGGAACTAGACAGACTAGGTTCTAATACCAGTTCCGCCACCCACCAGCTGTGTGACCTTGGGTGAGGTACAGTCTCTCTGAGCCTCAGTTCCCGCACGGGTGATGTGGAGATGATGCCACATACGTCACTGGGCTGCATCCTGGGGTTCAATGAGACAGGGGGTAAAGTGCCTTGTAGGTTCTCAGTAAACTGGTGGCAGGATTATTTCACCGAGTCAGTGGGGAGTCTGGGAGGCGTGGGCGTGGCTGCAAGTCTGATAGCCCAGAGCCATGCTGCTTTGACCTTTACAACTGCTTGGCTTCTCCTCCTCCATCCAGATCCCCACCTCTTCCTGTCCCTCCAGGAGTCTGTTCTCCAGCTGATAAAGGGGAAAGGAGGGGAGGAAACGGCTCCCTGAGGTTAAACAGAGATGGGCAGTCAGCGGCAGTCAGCACTCCTACATCGCTTCCAAGAGTACTGAGGCCCAACAAGGACTAGCAAAGGCTGGACAACAACTGGGGTACAGGAGCCCCTAGTATTCCAGTAAGAAGTTCCTCCTGGGCAAAGGACAAGGGTGGGCAGGGCAGGGCAGGGCAGCAGGGCAGGGGCTGGGCAGAGAGCAGGAGGTTGGCCAGCAGAGACTTCCATGCTCATGTTGAAAAGCAGAGTGAGGGGGCAGTGCTGAGCTAACCTGAGGGGGCCAGGTGGGGGTGATCTTCCTCACCCCTTACATCCACTTCCTCTGCAGTGTGCCCTTCCAGGATATTGTCATCAAAGGCAAGCAGGGGCCCTGGCTGGTTTGGGTCAGTGGATAGAGCATCGGCCTGTGGACTGAAGGGTCCCAGGTTCGATTCCGGTCAAGGGCATGTACCTTGGTTGAGGGCACATCCCTAGTGGGGGGCATGTGGGAGGCAGCTGATCGATGTTTCTCTCTCATTGATGTTTCTAACTCTCTATCTCACTCCCTTCTTCTCTGTAAAAATCAATAAAAAAAATATATATATATATATATTTAAAGGCAAGCAGGGCTTGCTGGGTCCTAAAAGGAGCCATGGGCACATCGTGGGCAGACTCCCTTATCCCCACTCAGGATTTCTGAGCTTGAGATCTGAATTCCCTTCCCTCCCTCTCCTCTTCCCAGGCCAGGGCCTGCTCTCCAGTTCCAGGAAGATCAGAGTTTCCATGGGCAAGTGTGGACAGCAGCTTCCAAGCCAAAGAAACCTTAAGCAGGTTCTGGCCTCTGATGGAGCTTTGTGAACTCTCACTCTGTGGTCTCCCCTCCCACTGTGAGCTGAATCTGTAACTGGACAAGCAATGGGTCCGTGCTGCCTGTCACTACTTGAGCCAATTGACAGGGTTGAATCATATATGAGCGTTTATTCCAATACTGCCAGCAGCATGGGAGAGCAGCAGGTCATCCACAAAAATCTGCTCTGCCCCCCACCATAAACCAGCTGCTTATATTGGGTAGAAGGACAGAGATTCCATGGGGAAGTAGCAGAAAGGGCAAATGGGCTGTTTACAGGCATACAAAGGGCTGGGGATCTTCGGGCTGCGATTCTGGTTTCTGCAACAGGATGTTAATCTCCTGATAATAGGCAGCTCCCAAATGGGGAGGAAGGGCTTCATTTCCAGGTGAGCTCCCAGTTCCCGAGTACAGGGTAGACTGTGACTTCCTTAATCAGAATAAAACAATCGAGGTTAACAGAGCATGATTAATATTCCTGACAATTATAGCTGGTTCCCCAACGTTCTATTCCTGTCACTATCAAACCCTGAGTTCGCCAGGGAAAGAAACGGGTCAGCACAGGCGCAGGCCGCAGTATGGCTTCTGAGCAATGCGCCTGATGTTCAGTGTGAATGAAGCAGAAGGTCACCTGGGGATGAGGTTAGAGACTTTCTCAGGGACAAGGGAACAGAGGCCACGGAAGACCATCTTACAGAACTGGGACTCCTCAACTGAAAATTCTCCAGGGGGCTGTCATCCAAGGGCCCACCAAGGATAGCATCTGGCTCTTTGCACCTGGAGCTGCTGCCAGTTGCAGGTCTAGCAGAAAATGATGCTGAGGTGGCTCTGAGCCTATCCTACCCCGGCCAGGTAGCTCTCAAGGAGGGTTTCTCAATCTGGGCACTATTGACAATGGTGGGACAGTAGGCTTGCTTTGCAGAAATTCTGCTTGCATAGTGTTTCAGGATTGATGCCCCCTGCAGGCCTATTGCATCACCGCCTGCAGAGCGCTGCCAGTACCACCAGGTGGCCAGCAGAGGGCGAGATGACACGCACTTTTACTTTGCTGGGAACCTGTAGGGGTGGGGCTGTGGCCTCCAGATTCTCCTCCCTGTAGGCTTCCTAGAAGCCCTCCAACTCTCTCTGCGAGGACCTTGGGGTGAGCAGGAGGTAGGGAGTCCCAGCTCTGCTGGAGCTCCCCCTCCCCTCCAACCCGCATTCATAAGCCTCTGCAGTCGCATCAAATACATGCGGATTTCTGAGCTCCTACCAGTTCTTACTGATTTTTTGAATTAGCGTCTAGTGGCGGAATTTCAGGCAAAATTAGGAAACTGTGTCTGGGCCCTGGACTTTTCTGAACTCACCGTATGGGCTTCCTAAGAAGCTGACGATGGAGAGCCAGGCCATGTTTGCTGTGGGAGGAGCTGTCCACCTCCTGATGAGGACCAGTGCCTGGGAGCTGGGTTTCCCTGTGCGGATTTCCTCATCCCAGAGCAAACACTGTCTACACAGGCCAGGGCCTGAGGAGGGTCAGGTCTGGAGGAGTCTAGCACACAGACCGTTGTGGCCAGGGCTGTGACCTGATGTCAGGGACAGCTGCAGTGCGGGAGGTCACCCCTCCCACCCACACCTGGGATCATCCCTCAGCTCCTGCACAGCCCTGCAGGCATCACTAGGGACTTCCTGCCCCAACTCCCAGCTCAGCCACCTCCCAGCACACTGAGGTCTCTTAACCTAAGTCAGAGAGACTCCAGTGCCTGGCCGCCCACCCAGGATAGAACTCCAGCTCACTCAGGCTTGGGACGGGCACTCATGCTCCTTTCACGGTGGGAGGGCTCTGCCTGTGAGGTCTTCCTTCACAAGGAGATGGGGCCTGTCTCCTGGGACCCTCCCAGGAGTCCTACCTCTGCCGTGGCACAGGGACCGGGCGCAGAGAACAGCTGTCCCCTCAGCCCTACAGCTGCCCTGCAGGGATTGGGGGCCTCCATTCCTGTTGACTCCACTACCTTTGCTGCCATTCCCTCCTCCAGCCAGGTAGCTCTCAAGGCGGCTTTCTCAGCACTATTGACATTTTGGGTTGAATGAGTCTCTGTTGTGTGTGTGTATATGGGGCAGGGAGGGATTTCTGATTTCTGACTTCATCCTGGGTCCCTACCCACTAGATGCCAGTAACACACCCCTCCACCAGTTGTGACAACAAAAAATGTCTGCAAACGTTCCCAAATGTCCCCTCTGGGGGGAGCGGGGCTGGGCAACTGACCCTGGTTGAGAACTGCTGCTCTAGAGCCTGGGTGGGGTGTCTCCCAGACTCCTCCAGTCCTGACCCTTCTCTCCTCCCAACGATCTAAGTCCTGGCCATGATTATCTTTTTATCGGGACTCTTAAAATGTAAAAAAAGAAAAAAGAAAAAAAAAAAACAGCCTGGCTGGCATGGCTCGGTGATTGAGCATTGACCTGTGAACCAGGAGGTCATAGTTCGATTCCTAGTCAGGACACATGCCTGGGTTGTGGGTTTGATCCCCAGAGGCAGCCGATCGATCAATGATTCTCTCACATCACTGATGTTTCTATCTCTCTTTCCCTTTCCTTTCCTCTCTGAATTCAATAAAAATATTTTAATTAAAGAGAAAGAGATGGGTCTGGGCAGACATGGTAGAGCCACGGCCCCTCACTGTCCTCCCTCCCAGCCTAGGCCCAATCATCCTCTCCGGGAGCCTGTGCAGGATCTACTAGGAAAAGGGCTTGGGATTCAGAGTAGGAACACCCTTGGGAGAACTGAAAACATGTTTGCGCCGGGACGTGTACACAAGTGTTCATGCCACACTATCAGAAATGGCCAGAGACCATTAAGTGGACAAAGAAAATGTAGTCTATCCATACAATAGAATAGCATTCAGTCATAAAAGGGAACAGAGTACTGATGCAGCCTTCAACATTGATGAACCTGGAAAACATTCTGTGAAGTACAAGAAGACAGACATAAAAGGCCACATATTGAATGATTCCATTTATATGAAATTTCCAGGAGAGGCAACTCCATAGAGACAGACAACAGTGGCTGCCAGGGGCTGGGGGAAAGAGAAGTGACCGCTCTGGGTTTCTTCCTGGGGTGTTGAAAATGCTCTAGAATTAGAAATGGTGATGGTTGCCCACCTTTTAAACATATTAAAATCACTGAGTTACACACTTTCAAAAGGTAAATTTGATGATATCTGAACTATATAAATAAAGAAAAGCAACCCCCAGAGCCTAGCAACCTGGCCGTGCCCTTCCCCAGCTGCCACTGCCTGGTGCCAAGCCCAGCCTGGGAGGACATGTGCCCATGAAGGGGCTTTCCCCAGCCAGCCTTGTTTGCTTTGTCACACTCCCTGCCCCGAAGAGAACTGAGGGAGCAAGCAGAGAACACAACCCTTCACAAACCTTCCCTCTCTGTGTTTAGCACACCTGAACCAAGTAGCAACCTTGCCAGAAAGGCATCATCACTGTCCTGGGGACAGAGGGGAAACTGAGGCAGGGTTGGGCAAAGGTCATGTGATGGGCCAGGGGCAGGACCTGGGTCTCATGACTTCCGGCTCCGTGGAACCCAGATGACACGTCAGAACAGGATCAGGGTGTATCAGCCTCATCCGTTCATGGTCTCATTCTTTCCTTCCTTCATTTCAATCGCCCAGGGAGCATCTCCTCTGATTCAGGCCTGCATCCGGGATACAGTGATGCCTCACTGGGCGGTCGCTAATCTCCAGGCCCTCGCTGTGATGGCGGGATACCCTGGGCACAGGGGGCAGATGGAAGAGGTCAGCCCAGAAAGTCAGCAGACCAGTCTCAGTGGGATAGCGACGCCCCCTCAGTGCACACACCCGGACACGCACGTGTAGATGCACGAGCAGATACTGGCACAGTTGCCTAGACAAGGCCCTCACACTCACCAGGACAGCTCTCTCTACACCAAGACTTATTATTAAGGGGATAATCATCCAGCCATTTGTTGATTTATTTTGTTCGTGTCCTTCACTATTCATTTAAAGTAGGTAATACATTCTGGTTCAAAATTCCAAAGGGACTCATCCCGTCTCCCTAGTTCTTTCCCCAGAGGCAACTGTGACAACCAGTGTTTGGTGCCTCCACATACAAGCACACGCTGGTGGCGGTCTGCAAGCATCGTCTTGCCTCTGGCTGTTGCATCTGACAGCCAGTTGTGGCCAGCTTCCCCTCTCAGGACAGAAGGAGCTGCGCCACACTGCTCTATGGCTGCACAGAGGTCCATTGTGTAAACGTCTCAGGATTTGTCTAAAGGGGCCCTGTTGATGGACAGTTGGGTGGACGGGTGCCAAGTTTTTGCTGTTACCAAAAAACGATGATGCTCCAGCTAATGATCTTGTTCAGATGTCATGTTGCACAAGCATGAGAAACCCTGTAGCTAAATTCCTCAGCAGTGGAGTTGCTGGGTAGAAAGGTCAGTTACATTTTTTTGGTTGTGATAGATATTGCCAAATCACCTTCATGGAGGTTGTACAAATTACCTTCCCACCAGCTGAGCAAGAAGGTGTATAAGAAAGGAGTTGAGTGCAGGAAGCGAGGGATGTCCTTAAAGAAACACCACCAACTGGGCTCCTGAGGAGCACCTTTCCCAGCGGGGTGGGAGAAATCTCTGGTTCTATGTCTATTTCGACAACCAATAGATTCCCACTGCCTGAGTGGAAGAGCTTTGTCCTTGTCTGGGAGGCAATGGTCCCTGCAGCCTTTTTGCAAAGGGTCAGTGGTCACCCGGAGGGCACACTGTGGTGCGGGGGAGAGGCAGGGGGTGGGTGCAGAGACCAAGTCCAGGTCAGGGACAAGGAGAAGCTGGAGGAAGCAGAGAGGCCCAGATCCCCATTGCTGTCCCCAGATCCCTGCAGGCTGCTCCGAGGGCGGACAGCATGGCCTCTGGGGCCTCAAGTGCAGCAATAAGAACCCTCAGGGCATCACCTGCTGAGAGTTTCAGCTTGGTGACAGGATGAACTTTCACCCTAGCAAAGCTGAGCCACAGTGGAAAGGGCTCTCCTCACCCCAATCCGGTAATGCAAACTGCAGGGCCCTGGCAGTCCTATCAGGGAGCCTCTTAGGGGAGTTCGGGGGGGTGGGGGGTACACATGGGCTTCAGGGCCGTCTAACTCTGATGGCTGTGGCTCCCAGAAAGCGGGACACTGGGGCGGGCCCTGCAGTTACACACAGTCACTGCCCACAGCAAAAAGCCTGGCAGACGCAGCCTGTTCAGTAACCGGCAGGAGCAGCATTTGTTAACTCAGATCCAGCCCCCTCCACTCACCCCACTTCACCTGGAAACTGCTAATGACAAACGGCTCTCCTCTCCCACTCAATCTACAATGCCCGGGGTCCCTGCTGCACCCTGCAGGCTGCAGGCCCGAGCAGACCCAAGTTCCTGTGCCAGCAGAGCCGCCGTGAGGGGAGCAGAGAGCCACGGGTGAGACGCGAGGGGTAAAGAGGACTGGAGCTGGCCTCCTGGTCTGCAACCGACCAGGACTCCTCTCCCAATATATCGTGCAAAGGCTCATTCCCTGGTCTTAAGTGCCAATTTTCTTAAATGGAGTTTTGTGAAATGGGGTATTCCGGCATGGCGCCCCCGTGTGGCCATCTGGTGTCTTCTAATTCTATCTGGTCAGGGAGCAGTCTTGGTCATCGCAGGGCACCCTCAGACCTGAACTTCTCAGCAGTCCTGGGAGGGAGGGGAGACAGGGCCAAACGTCCCCCCTTTACAGATGAAAAGCCTGGGAGGGAAGCAGTTTGCCCAGAGCCCGCTGTGAGTCTGAGCACAGCCGGCACCTGGAGACACCCCAAGCGCACTCACACCGCATCTCAATCTTCCTGAGAGCCAGAGGCTCAGAGCTGGGGAGAGACCTGCCCAAGGTCACCCCGGAGAGCGTCAGGGTCAAAGTGGGGACGCAGGCCCAGCTCTGGCTCACTAGGTTGTGTCCCTACAGCTGGTCAAGACTGCTGAGCTGGACCCCTCCCGGAACTACCTTGCGGCCATCCACCCCCACGGGGTCCTGGCCGCCGGGGTCTTTGTCAACATGTGCACCGAGAGCACTGGCTTCTCCGAGCTCTTCCCCGGCATCCGCCCCCACCTGATGATGCTGAACCTGTGGTTCCGGGCCCCCTTCTTCCGGGATTACCTCATGTGTGGGGGTGAGTCTTCCCCACCTGGGCAGCCAGGGAGATGAGGCTGCGGCCTGGGAGGAGGGAATCTGAGGGGGGGGGGGGGTGGCGACCAGTAGTTCTGGACTTCTTCCGAGAGCATGAGCAGTAAGGAGGCTAGACTCAGGGAAGCACTTCCTACAGCACCGTGAGGGCAGTGAGCATGGCGAGGGGCTTAGGCATGAGGGGGAAGACTCGGTCCCAGTCCTCAGGAACGCCCAGCTAGAGTGGGTGGGGGAGGGGACCAGGCCTCGGTGGGCACTTTTGGTGATCTCTGTGTTGGGCCACATCCACCCCCACGGTCCCTGCCCCCTGCCCCCATCACTGACCACCTTCCTCTCTCCCCAGGACTGGTGACATCGGACAAGGAGTGCGCTGCTCACATTCTGAACAGGAAGGGCGGGGGCAACCTGCTGGGCATCATTATCGGGGGTGCCCAGGAGGCCCTGAACGCCAGGCCCGGGGCCTACAAGCTGCTGCTGCGGAACCGCAAGGGCTTCGTCAGGCTGGCCCTGATGCACGGGTATGGGGAAGAGGGCTCTCGGTTCCGCTGGAGATCAGGGATTTACTTTGGTGGGAAGACAGCAGAGACTAACGGAGTTCCTATTGGGGCAGGGAGATTTCCCAGTCCATTCGCAAACGCACATGCTGTTGTGGTGAGACCAGTCCTGTCTCCTGGCCGAACACCCAGAAAGGGTTCCGGAACCGAGACTTTGGGACCAAAGGGCTGGGTGGGAAGGGACATATGGCCCAAGGCCGGCACTGGATGCGAGGCCTCTGGGATGTGGGAGACTGGAGTTTGGGGCGTATCACAGGGCTGTGCTCTTCCTCGGAGCACTCTGGCTGGAGCAGGCGAGGTTTTTCTGCAAAGCTGGCAGAGGACTTCTGTCTGGGAGGACTCTGAAGCATTCTAGCCTTTCCGTCACAATGCCCCTGGGAGGTGGTGGCTCTGAGAAGGGGCCAGGACCTGCCCAAGGTCAGAAAGCGAGGCTCTGGCAGGTCCGGGAGACAATCTAGGCCTCCTACTTCCGGCCCAGGCTCTGTCCTCTGCTCCAGTGCCTGGTCCCTGCGGGAAGCTAGGTGACCAGCGGGGCCTTCCTCGGGGCCTCCGACATGCCTTCTCTCCTCTGTCTCTCTCTAGGGTGCCTCTGGTGCCCGTCTTCTCCTTTGGGGAGAACGAACTCTTTGACCAAGTTGAGAACTTGCCTGGCTCCTGGTTGCGCTGGATCCAGAACCGGCTGCAGAAGATCATGGGTATTTCCCTCCCGCTCTTCCACGGCCGTGGCATCTTCCAGTACAGCTTCGGCCTGTTACCCTACCGCCGGCCCATCACCACCGTGGGTGAGCCAAGACCCAGGCTGGGAGGGGGTCACTCACAGGGAAAGGGGCCTGGGCTGTGAGCTGCAAGGGACACGGGGACGGGCCAGACACATCTTTGCCCTCACAGAGCTCACATTCTAGACTATGAAACAGACACACAAGCAGACGACCCCAACAGGAGGCAGTCTGGGATAACTGTAACAGAGGCACAAAGAACAATGGTGGCTACTGATTACTGAGCACCTACTGTGTGCCAGGCACTGCACGGCTCCCTCACATTCAGTGGCTGTTTCTCCGGACAACCTTCAAAGTCGCTACTGATTACTGAGCACCTACTGTGTGCCAGGCACTGCACGGCTCCCTTACGTGCAGTGGCTGTTTCTCCTGACAACCTTCAAGGTAGAGACTATTATCCCTATTTCATTGATGGGAAACAGGCTCAGAGAAGTAACTTCCTAAAAAGTCACACTGCCTTCGAGTAACAAAGTTGAGGTTTGAATCAGGATCTGTTTGACTTTTCTTTTTTTAATATATTTTTATTGATTTCAGAGAAGAAAGGAGAGGGAGAGAGAGACAGAAACATCAATGTGAGAGAGAAACATTAATTGGTTGCCTCCTGCACACACCCCACCAAGGCTGGGGATCTAACCTGTGATCCTTCAGTGCGCAGGCCGACGCTCTAACCACTGGACAAAACCAGCCAGGGCTTGGCCATGCCACCTTCAGCAAGTTACTTAACCCCTCTAAACCTCATTGCCTCATCTACCGATGGGAATCAGAGCAGGTTCTATCCCCAGATGATGGTTACAAGCATTAAAGGAGACAGCGCCTGTAAAGCACCCAGCACATTTCTAGGCATTTTGCAACGCCAGCTGGTGGTGTTGTCACTGTATCTGAATGAATCTTGGAGTTGCGCTAACGTCTTAGGATTCATCACTTGAAATAGGGTTGAAAGGAACAGCAGTAGGAGCACTTCCCTGCCCCAAGGGCCCCTGCTCTGGCCCACCACCCCCCTCTGTGTCTTGCAGTGGGGAAGCCCATCGAGGTGCAGCAGAGACCACACCCCTCGCAGGAGGAGGTGGACCAACTGCACCAGCGCTACATCGACGAGCTGTGCAGCCTCTTTGAAGCCCACAAGCTCAAGTACAACGTCCCCGCGGACCAGCACTTGGAGTTCTGCTGAGCGCCTCCCCAGAGGAAGGGGCTGCCCCAAAGGGCAGGGCTGGCATTAGGGAGCCCATGGGAGGCGCTGTGAACTGAGAAGGCTTCCTGGAAGCTTCTGTTGAACATTATCTCCAGAGTCTTCCAAGCCTCCTGCAAATCCAGTCCCAAGTCCCAGCTGACAGACAATGTGGGAGGGGCGACCAGACATACCCTGGGGCACCCGTGCAGGTCCCCATCTCCTCGGTCTGCTCCTCCGGGAAATGGGAGAGAGGGCTGCAATGTCACTCATCGGACAAAGAAAAGAGAGCAGCAACCGATGACCAGGTTTTTCTTCCTCTACCTTGAATGACAGTGAAAAAGAAGCCACCAGCTCCAGCCCCTTCTACTAGCTCCCTCGTCCCGCACCCTGGACGTCCCAGCTCCTCCCTCCCCAGCTGGGTAAGGAGAACCGCACTGTGTCACTGGCAGGCCTTTCCCCCCTCCCTCTGAGCCCCAGTTTCCCTGACTGAACAAGATGGCCTACGAGTCTCAGCTCTGACATCACGTAGGCTGAGAGCTCCATGAGGTGCCTCCTTGTCCTTTGTAACTTCAGCCCTTTCCTTAGCACAAAAAGGGGCTCCGTGAACTTCCATTCAATAAATGAAAGGACTCTGTGTTAGCCTTCTCTTCCTCTACACGCCCCAATGCAGAGGGATTTGACCCCCAGCCTGGCCCTGTCTCATCTTCCCAGAAGGTGAGTCTCTGGACTCAGATTGGACCAGAGAATGTCACGTGGACTCTTCCTTTCGATCTGTCGGCCCCAAGCGGACCACCTCTGGCCCTGTTCTGTTGGGAAAGAGGGGAATGGGTATGTTCAGACACAGGGCAGGCCAGGACAGAGGACGAAGACCAGACGTGAAGAGTGGATGTTAGTGTGTGTCTGCAGGGGGTGGGGGTTGAGATGGGGACTGATGCCAGGCGGGAAGAATCTGGATTCCGGGTTTGGGACAGGCGTGCAGGGGCAGGATGGCTGGGTAAAACCAGTCCTTGCGAATCCCCCCCTTCCGCCAGCAGGGAAGCAGGCTCTTTCTGCCCGGGAGCAGGTCATGCCAACAGCTACAACATGGGGCGTTTTGAGAAGTGTAAACAAATTTGGGTTCAAATCCTGGCCCATCCCGTTTTAGTAACTCTGGGCCAGTCACCTTCAGACCTCAGTTCTGTCATCTGGAGAATGAGGATTACCATATCCACCTCCGGTGTCGTGAGCAAAATGAGATGCTATTTTGAGATCATAAGCCACCCCGTCTCCTGTCGGGAGGGACGCAGAGCACGTGGAAGTAGGAGTCAGGTGATGAGTGCCCCCGTGTCCCATGGGGGTGCCTGCTACCCTGGGAGGAAGTGCGTGTACAGGTCACAGGAGGAACGGGAGTGAAGGGCAGGGAGTGACGATCTCCAGCCAGGGGGAGACTTTAGATGTAAATTGATATTCAGACATTAAGTTTGACCTTCAGAGTATCTAAGGAATATGGGGACCTAGAAACCTAAAGCGTAGAGTCATCAAGCTGCGGTGCTTCACAGCGGTCACCATGGTTCAGATCTAAACCATGATCAGAATCCCTTCTTTAGATGGACATTTTTCACCACAATGGCTACATTTTTTTCCTGAAATTATGTAAGGGAATTAGATATTAGTAAAATAAAAATTAAAGCCTTTCCTTAGGACCCC